TCTCTCTCTCTCTCTTTCTGTAGGTTCGTCTGTGTTTTTTCAGGGAGGATTTAAAGATCTGTCTTTCTCGCAGCCATTTCACGACGGAGTCTACTACCCCATCTCCAGTGACGCCCAGGGGACCCACTCCTCAGCGGGGATCCCGTCCCTCCTGAATTCCCCGCTCAGCCAGCTCTCCGCCCCCGCACCAGGCATGACTCCGTCCAGCGGAGCGTCCGCCGTCCTTCCCTTCAAGTTCCGCCCGCGCAGGGAGAGCGTGGACTGGCGGCGCATCAACGCGGTGGACGTAGACTTGGTGGTGAGTCAGCTGGACGTGGACGCTCTGCAGGACCACATCAGCACGGTGACCTTCTGCAGCTTAGACGGCGAGCGGTGCCAGCGGTGCCAGAGCCCGTGGGACACCGGCTCTGGGTCAAGCATCCTGCGGGCTGGCCCAGCTCACCGGTGGGAGTGGCTCCTCCCACTGTCAGGAGTTGGCGGCGGAGGAGAGGCTGGCGGCGGCCGGCGGGGAGCGCGAGCAGCTGCTGGCTCAGCAGAAGAAGCTGGAGGAGAAGGCGAAGCTGCTGACCGCCGAGCTCAAGCAGAGGAAGAAGGTCATTCGCACCCAGCAGTCCTTGCTCGCGCCACAAATCATCAGCAGCCAGAAGGTACTGCTGACGCTGAACGCTCGCTCTCTGGGGGGGTATCGGTTATTTCACATGTGTGTGTGGCAAGTAGCTCCATCACCCCCACCGCCTTCGCTCCTCCTCCTCCTCCTCCTCCTCCTCCTCCTCTGTCATTGTTCCCCAGATCTATTCACAGCTCCGGCTTTGTGCCGTTCACAGTTGAAGGTTTGTACCAGAGGCCGATGTAAAAACAGTAGGCAGCAGCTGTGAAACCGGCCGTGGTCGTGTTGTTTCGGTGTTTAATAAGCTTTGTTTTCAGACTGGAAGAAAGGGTTTACAGCTGCAGAACAGATGGTGTCATTCGGTGGCAATTAGTTTTTTTTTAATCCACTTACAAAAAGGGTGACGAGAGCCGTGATCGAGAGGACTCCCCCTCCTCACATACACGTCCCCTCGTTCAGCAACTTGTCCTTTTTTTACTGCCCTTAAAGACATTTGTGCATCTTCCTCTAAATAAAGTCTCCGTCACGTTATTTACAGCACAAATCAAAAATAAATCTCCCCTCTGTTCCTCAAGTGTAAGGCTGCCGCTGACCTGGACGAGCAGTTGCCAGGGCAACAGATATAGTGTGTCATGACAGCATGTGGTTGCTAGGTGTAGGCTAACAGAGGTGGCTCAATAATTGATAGAGACGCCATGTGTTCGTGTGCTTCGAGGACCTTTGGCATTTTGTTGCCGGGCACATTTCCACCGAATAAACACACACAGAGCTTTCTTTTGAGGGCTAATTTAATTCCACTCCCAATTTCCACAGTTATTCCAAACCCTAATGTAATTGCGTCACTCACTGCTTTGAGTCTTCACACACGTAGCAGGAGATTGTTCGTGTGTTAGTGTTGGAAATAGAGATTTGCTGCTCTTATATCGTCTTATAGTGAATTTAATGGGGTTTTTTTGGGTTGGTTGGACTAAAAGGACACGAGGAGGTGATTTCAGAAACTATGGTGGATGTTTTTTTCTGATGAAACAATTAGTTGAATAGTTCAAATCTGCAGATTTATCAATAATGAAAATAATAATAGTTAATTGCTTCGATATAGTAAATACTGTGTGGCCCTGAGAGCTCAACATACTGCAGCCAAAGAAAACAAATAGATAAAACACAACTAAATGAAGAAAACAACACGTGCAGCAAAACGAAATACTAAAAAACAAAAAAACACAACTGTCTCTGTACTTTGTATTTACAGCAAGTATCAAATTAATGCTTCTCAATGCTCCTGTGTTTAATTTATCTTTCATATTTATTCGCTTTTCTTTGTCAAACAAGCTCACTGATATATTAATACATGTCTTTTGTTTCTTTTTGTTTTCTTCTTAGTGTCCGCAGTGTGACAAATCCTTCCTCAATTCCTCCTTTCTCCAGAATCACATGCAGCGCCGCCACCCTGACGAGTATGAGACCCGTAAGTCAACCAGTCGTAAAGGTTTGAAGATGTATGTGCAGGTGGAAGATGAAGCGTCCCCTCACGTTGTGTCGTTACATACAGGATCTTGTTTTTAACTGGTTTTACTTCCTCCCAGAGATGCGGTCAGACGGTGAGAAGAAGTCTCAGATTGAAAGCCTCAAACTGGAGATCAGCAGTCTGAAGGAGCAGATTGTTCAGCAGCAACATGACTTGCAAGCCAAAACAGCTCAGGTAGGAAAAAAACGTGATGGAAAATACACTCAAATGTGAGGATTTAACGCCTTAAAAAGTATATATATAAGTTTAAACTCTTATGTGAGGCTTTTGTTCTTTCGTAGCGACTGAGCTCTTTTTTTTTATTTCTGTTGTGGTTCCAGGAAAAAGAGCAGCAGTCCATTCACAAAGACCTGCTGAGAGAAATGGACCGCTTTAAGGCTGAGGAGATGGCACGCATGGACAGAAAGATAGAAGACAGCAGGGACGGCATACGCAGGGAGATGGAATTTCTTTACACCCGGAATATTCAGGCTCTTAATGTACGAAAAGGATGTTTATTTACATCTTCAGGATATGCTTTATTGATTTGTTTATTTTCACTATTTCACATTTTTTGTCACGTTTTCATTTATAGGAAGTAAATCAGAATCAGACAGCCAAGCATGAAAAATCAGCCAGTCCTGTTCACTCCCAGCCAGAGAGAGATCTGGACAACTACAAAGAGATGCAGATACAAGCCATCCAAAAGCTGGAACACCAGATGAGGAGACAGGTTGGTGTAGCAGAGAGATATTGTTTTAACATATGTGCAAGTGAAGTTATTTTGAGTTCAAAAATCTTCTCTTCTAGGATAAAAAGTGGGAATCCAGGCTGCAGGAAATAAAGGCCCAACACGAGTCTGAAAAGAATCAGGTATCTTTTTAACGTGTGTCATAATTATCGTTCCATTAAAGCGTCTTTTGTTAAAAATCGGCCAGCTGGAAAATGCCTCCTCTTCCTTTTGTCTCCCAGTTACTGAACGAGCTGAGCAGAATGCAGTCGTCTGTGTCCGACCAACAGGAGCACAGTCAGAGGCTGCAGCAGGACATGGCGAGGAGGCTGCAGGAGAAGGAGCAGACCATCAAGGCGCAGAGGGAGCAGGTTAAGACTGATTCACACTCACACACACACAGCCATCAACTGCCCAGTGTGATTATGTCGAGAGAGGAAGTGAGGCGGAGGGTCGGCCCTTGTTCAGGATTTCCTGTATTTGCTACATGAGCTCAGATTGTGTTGTATTGAGAGATGATGATACTGAACATTTGACAGGAGCCACAATACACAATCTGTTATTGAGAGTTAAGTGACTGAAAACTCAGAAAGTGTTGTTTCACATGCACGTCATGTAAAATTACATTTAAAGGTAAAATCCGACAGACAATACAGAAAGGTTGATAAGAAAATAAGAGTCTTATCTAGAGCCAGTATTTAGTTTCTGCCAATAGATCCTCCCTAAATGTTACACACTGGACCTTTTAAAGAGGTTTTTATTTACAAAAGAAGAGTTTATTATAAAATCTGCATGTTCATGGTGTAACAAGTTGTCTTTTTTCTGACTTGCAGATAAGGAATATTTCCTCAAATCCACCCACCAAAGTAGTGGAAGTGCCAGGTGTGAATTATTTCATCAAATAAAAAAAGTGTTTCACCAAAGGAAACTGCATGTAGTATCTTGATGCATTCACTGTCTTCTGTGTTTTTCAGTCATTGTCAGTGCACCTGCTCCGGAGCCTAAACCAAAGAGAGTTGTACTTGGTAAGTTACTGGATTCGAATATAAAGCCGTTGTCACTCCCAGAGAGGCTGAGCATGTGCTTTCATGCATGAAGGATTTACATAATGCTGTTTTAGAGAGAAAACTCTTAATGAAGCAGTGCTGTCACCACATTAGTACCCCACCCTCTTTTAACACATATTTTATCTCACTTCCAATCACCTTTGACCTCCTTCCAATTAGAGGAGACAGTCTGTGCTCCTAAGCTGGATCCTATACAGGAGCTGTCAGAAGAGGAGAAAGGTAAAAACAGACAGTACAACCAACAGAGCCGGTCGACCGCATGCCGTCTGCATGGATGCATCAGTCTGTTGTTGGCGGCCTTTTCCTTAAAGTGTGTCCAGACTGAGATCATCTTAGTCCACACTGACATGAAAGGCACGGCCTTAGTAGGGAGTAGGAAAACAAGCTCATGGTCTGTGATAATAAATGTGACGCCTGCCACTTCAACGTTGCTGATCATTCCATCCGTCCGTCATCTTGTCGCCTTGTTTTTGGCAAACAAACATGTAGATGTTCTCCTCTTCTGCCTGCCCCGCTGCAGTCACATCCATCCACCATGCTCTGTCTGTGCATGCTCTCTTTTTCTTCTGTGTTTTGCCTGTAATTGGAGCTGGGTTTGTGTATAAATGGCCGATTTTAAGTGGGATCTCTTTTACAGACTCGAACAGCTTCTCTGAGAGGAGGTCAGTGGAGAAGAAGCCCGAGCCTGTGCCAGAGAAGAAACAGAGGGCGACCTCCAGTGCTCTGAAAAGGAACTCCAGCATCAAGAAAGATATGCGGCCAGATATTGAGCAGGCTGTTATCATGAAGCTGGAGAACCTGGGAGTCAAACCTGTGAGTTCACACTAATAAGTCGAGTTTCAGAAGCTTAAGTTCACTCTTAAATGCTCCTTTACCTCTTTTTTTACCGTTATAATTTCCTCTACCTCTTCTCAGGATCAGACTGGTCTGAAGAACAAAGAGCTCACTTCCATCCTGGCCAAGGTGCATTCAAAGAGGGACAGCTTTGCAAAGGGGAAGCCCGACTACTGGCGCCAGCGGGAGGAGATAGCCAGCACTGTGGAGCAGAAGCTGGGCGGTCAGAGGAGAGGCAGCGACCCTGCTCCTGAGTCACAGGCCAGATCCCGACAATCCGTTCAAGGTGAGTCATCAAAAAGCCTCTTAGCACATCAGATCGTCTCTCACAGTTCTTACTCTGAGCACAGACCAGTAGTCACCACTCTGCACCACATTGTTCCGTAGAGCCACTATTGCATTAGCGGCTTGTAATTGGTTTTGACTGTGTGTGCGTCCGTCTAATCTGCGAGAGCTTGTTTGCCGTCACACGACTTAAGCTGTGACACACTGTCAGCAACTGATCCGTTAACTCTGTTTATGTTACCTGTTTTTGAGTGCAGTGTTGCAGATCCGGCCTCGATCCAGCAGCCTGCCCTCCAGAGCAACACAGGTGATGTCTGGACCTGGGGTCAAACAGCCAAAGACCCCGCAGCCGGCGCCAAGGACCAAGACCACCACCCAACCCAAGACATCCACACCCAGCACCAGGACCGCTCTGAGGAACCTCACATCCAAGTAAAGAAAAAACGGCGT